GCTACCTTTAGCCTTAGCCTTGGCACATGGGCTTCCAAGTGGAGAAAATGCCAGCATCCACTGCATCACTCATTCCTTGTCACAAAGGGTCTGCCTGAGCACTCTGGCTCTCCTTTCTGTACAGAAATTAAGCAAAAACATTAGACTCCTTTTGGAGTCTTAGCTAGCAGCATCCCAAGTGGGCAGGAAGATCTCCAGGGCTTGCTGGCCAGCTAGTCTAGTGGCCAAATGCCAAGCATCAGACTCAGCGACAGACCCTGTCACAAAGGAACAAGGAAGGTAATGATGAAGCAGGACTTCTGAATTCCTCCCCTGGCCTCAGCATACATGTGCCCAGGTGGGTGTTTGTACCTGTACATGTACATGTCATACACAAATAAAAGGAAAAAGAGAAGAAAAGAAAACCGGAATGGCAAATTTGGCTTATACATACACAGATTTTGCCTGGAGAGAAAACACTTTACTTGAAGAGAATTCTCATTAGTTCTTTGGGAATTTCATGTTTTGTTTTGATCATATTCATCCATCTACCAACTTCTCCCAGGCCTATCCACTCATACCCACCCAACTTCCAACAGATTCTTGTAAGGATCTATACTCTGAAAGCTGACAGTCAATGGGAGGAAATGGGAGAGAAAGAAGAAAGAAAAGGAGGAAAGCAGAGCAAGAAGAGCAAGAAGGAGGGAAGAAAGAATGGAGGGAGGAAAGAACAGGGGAGAGGCAGGAAGATCTGGACCTAGAGGGAGAGAGGGGGACAGGAGAGGAAGGACCTCATCAAAAGTGAGAAACTGGGACTTCAGAGATGGCTCAGTCAATAAACGATTTGCCACACAAGCATGAGAACCCTAGTTCAGATCCCCAGCCAGGCATAGTGGCTCATGCCAGTGTTCTCAGCACTTTGGAGATGTAGATAGGCACATCTGGGGTTCTTTGGCCAGTCAGCCTAGATGAATTGATGAGTCCCAGGTTCAGTGAGAGACCCTGTCTCAAACACTTAAAAGCAGTCAAGGAAGACACTTGGTGACAGCCTCTGGCCTGCACACACAGGTGCACACAGCTGGATGCACACACTCACAGGAATATGGACACATACTGCATACACATACAAAGAATGATGCACTGCTAGGCCAGCATCTTGAGCACTCACAGGAATATGGACACATACTGCATACACATACAAAGAATGATGCATTAAAAAGCCAGCATCTTGAGTGAACACAACACTCCCTCCTGTGTCCCTTTCCATTCAGCACCTCTCGTCCACACAGTTCCACTGGCTTCTGTTCTAGTTCAATTAGAATGATCTCGGCGTCTAATTTCTTTTGGACTCTGCTAAAAATGAAGTCTTCGCTGGTGAATCTCCAATCTTTTAAAGGCCAGCCCTCACTGTAGGTGCTTCCCAGCACACTGAGTGAACTGCCTGCTTTGTTGTGCTAGTGCCCTCACCAGGAGCCTTGCTGAATCAGCCCTTCACAGGACAGCCTGTCTCTTCAAACTGCCTGATCTGTGTTATTCCTCCAGTTTTGCTTTCTCCTCCAGTCCACTCTTGTGTGATCCTTCCCCAACACCCATCAGATGCTCTCTTAAAAATGTTTCTTAAGGTATTTTCTAGGATTAATTTGGTGAGACATTTCTTAACATCCCTGGTCTTTGTAGAATGAGTTTGAGCACATCAAAACTAGAATGCAGGAGACCTAATAAAATGCAGTGACATCATGCATCTGAAGAGAACTTGAGTAATCATGAAGAATTATCTTGTTTTGGAACCAGTGACAATGATGGGTGGGATGCTTAGCACTTGGTTTCTATCCCCTCAAAAGCAATACTGTCACAGGCTACAGTTCTGGTCAGTGACAAAGAAGCCCTAAGGGACAACTTTTCTTTCTGAATAATGACACAGAATCGAAAGAGTCTCTACTACCAGCTCTTTTTATCTGGGAGGTGGATGTGATGTCTAACCATTCAACTCTGTAGCCATGAAGACAAATTCACAATCCCAGGGTGTGGAGAGAAAAGAGCTGGAGTTCTGGAAGACACCGGAGAGCAGGGGAGAGCAGCTTCTCTAGCCTTGACCATCAGTCCAGACTTCTTCTTAGAGGACACATATCACTCTGAAGTTTATAAACTGGGTTTCATGAGATTTGGAATATATGCATTTCTGTTGACACACCAGCTGTCAGAGTCACCTACTTCATGAAGTCCATGGAATGGAACCTCCATGAATCCCCAGTTTCCAACCTTAACTGGCTCTCACCATGATCCCTCTATCTTTTTACTATCAATAGTGAGTTCCATTTCCATTCCCCCTAGTTAGCACATCTCACTGTCCTTATTCTCAGTGACCAACTCTTCCACCTAGTGAAGAACCAAACAGAGCCAAGAGGATGGAACACATGTCATTTTCCATCTTGTTTTCCAACTGTGCCTTGGATTTATTCTTTCCTTCCCCTTGGAAAACCTCTCTACCCATTCTCACCTTCTCTCCCCTCATCCACTCACTGTGATCATGCTTGCATATCTGAAATTCACTAATGCCACTCTTGTGAGTACTACAGGTCATCTTCAAATTGCCAGAAATGGGGGGAGGGCAGTCCTGGATTCCAGCCATCTTCACAAGAGCATCTGACTTCCTTGAGATGACCAGTCCCTGTGGCTTCTGTGACTCTGCTCTTGCTAAGTTCTGTGTTCACCTACTCACTCTTCCTCTTTGATTAAATGTTAGAGTTCCTAGGGCACAATCCTTAGCTTTCTCATGTTCTACATGCTCTCTTTGGGTGGACCTACCTACATTCATGACTGAGTCCCACTAGTAAGGGCAGCTTCCCACCAGCCATGATGGGCTGGTATATTTCTAACCAGCCTCCAGCCACAAACAGAATACACACAACAGCTTTTGGAAAGCATCAGAAGGGTGCAACAGGGTTGACTGTCCAGAGAGCCAAGATTCTTGAAAGAAGAAAAATCAGGGAGATGGGCTCTTGCCCTTGATAGACAACTTCTTCCTGAGGATACCTAATTCCAGAAGAGAAGTGAGCATAACCAGCTGCCTGAGTCAAAGATGTTGCTTCGTTCTGTGTCTCTTACTGTAGTATTTACTCAAAAAACTTTGAACTCTGATCCTGTAATTCCTCCTCCTCCTCAATATCTTTCCAAGCATCCCATCCTCATCATCTCCTGTCACACTCCCTTAAACCAAGGCCCTTGAGTGGAGTGTTTAAATGAAGTTTCCTATTTGAACTCCCTGCTTCTTGGTTGTTCTTGAAGGTGATCTGTGAGTTCTCCCGAGTCACTCCATTGTCTAAATTGTTTTGATGATTCCACCTGACCCAGAATATAAATCACACTGATGACAGCTTTTGTGGTTGACTCCTGAACAACACTTTATCTAATCTACTTCTCAATGTACATTCAGCCTGGAGTAGCAGATAAGCAGGAGCTCAATGAAACCTGGCTTGTTTGATGAGATGGAGCATACCTAGAACTCTAGTACCCAGGAGGCTTCAAAGGGGTCAGCCTGGGCTGCATGGCAAGACCCTGTCTAAAAACAACAACAACAAAATACAAACAAAATGGAAAGTTTGTCTCTAGTGTTATACCACACATGAAATATATATTTCCTCTTCTTAGGAGATCTTGTCCACCTATCATCCCTGTTTCCTGTTCTCTATACTTCTTGTACTCCCCTCGTTTTTCTCCTCTTCCACTTCTCTTCCATTCCTATAATGGTCTCCTTAACCAAGATCCCAACTTTATTCAACAACCAGGCACAAAAACAAATAGAAGATTTAAAGATAGAAAACAATAACCAATAGAAATGGGGATACAGAAATAGCTCAGTGGTAAAGACCACTCACTGTCCTTGCCGCAGACCCTGTGTTCAATTCCCAGTGTCCACATGACAGCTCACAAATGTTTGTAACCCTAGTTCCAGAGGATCTCCTGTTTCCTCTGACTTCTATGGCTCTGGCACACATGCGTTATATGTATATACATTCAGACACATACATGCATAAAATATAAATAAACATTTCAAAACTAGAAAGGTAGAAAACAAAACCAGAGGAGTATTGACTAGCGACTTGCATGAGTATTCTCTCTTCTTCAAAGCCAGAACAGGCTCCTACCTGAGGGCCAGCTTCAACCTGCAGCTTACTTATTTTAAATTAAGTTTCATTGGAATATGACTACATGTGTGTGTTTGTGGGTGCTGTCATAGAATGATGGTTTTGAGTGTTGGGTACAGAGACACTATGTCCTGAAAAGGTTAAATTACTTACTAGCTGGCCACTATTGCATATACAGTTGACCCCTAAAATTAAAGGGAGATTCTACTGAGATGAGAAGACAAAACATCTGAATGAACACAGCTTCAAAAGCACTGCTTCCCCAACACAAGCAAAAATCAAAGCCAAGTAACAACCTGAAAACCACATTTGAAATAGGTGTGACAGGCTGAAGGTTAGCATTCCTGGTAACACAAAGTTTACAACAATAAAAATTAAGAACTGAGAAGGCAGATAGATGGTTTCAATAAATAACAAAAACAAAAGATAAAATAAATATTAGATCACTTTTTGACTTGTTAACAATCAAAAGAAGACAAATAAAATAAAATTATGACCCCAGTTTACCTGAAAAATGTTTTAGGCTACTTAATAATAACTACCAAATATTTTTTTAATGATGAGGTTTGTAATGACAATAACTCAAAAAAAATTGGGGACTTTTAAAGGGTTGAAGGAAACAAATTCTAAGTGCTCTTTCAAAATAGAAAATTGAAAATTAATAATAATTTTTGAAAAGAAAGAGATTTGACCTTCTGAAAAGAAGCCAAGTTAATTCCGCCCAGACAAGTTCAGTAATAGGAATATGTTTTCCAGTAAGAACAGAAAACACAGCTTGTTCTGTGGTAACATGGAACTGTAGGGATATGCTCTTCTTGTAAGAATGGAAAACACAGATTGATCTCTGGTAACACGGAACTGGGTTTCAAAACTTACGTTTCTCAGGAGCCAGGTGTATCTTGGCCTGACCCCGCACCAGCCTGCAGGTGGAGCCGTCCCCTGCACAGACGCCACAGTTGTCTTCCTTGGCACTACTTCCCAGTTGTCTGTCACAGCCCACAGCCTGTGGAGGCAAGAGGGGGCAAGGCATCTCACTTACAATGTTGTCTTGCTGCAGCTTATAGGCAGGCTGTCTTTATGAGAGCACCATTTTGTAAAAGTCACTGGTGGGTTGTCTTAGAGTCTAAGATCATTTATGTGACTTTTATGGAAAGACCCAGAATTACAGGGTTGCAGCTGTCTCCCTGCAGCATACTCCCCATTAGTTATATTTCAGATATCTGTATGCCTATAGAAGATATTTCTTTCCCCACCTCTCCTTCCCTTGAGACAAGGTAGATAGCCTTGAACTAGCTGTGTAGCTGAGGGATGACACTGAGTGTCCGATCCTTCAATTTCCACCTCCCAAGTGCTGAGAATCAGGCTGGCTTCAGCACATCTGGTCCATGCAGTGCTGAGGAATGAGCTGTGATACTGGAAAAGCACTGTACCAACTGGGCTACTTCCCCAGTTCCCCTTCCTACCCACTTCTTTCTCTCCAAACCTGCCTTTGCCCTGACTCTCATTTCTTGCACCCAGTGTCCATGCCTCAGGCCCACAGTATCTCTGTGCATCTGCTTCAACACAGAGAAATCCAGAGAAATCCTTCATTTGTACAGTTATGTCTACATTTCTTTATCACTAGCTGCTCTTACACCTATATTTCCACCTCCATATAACTATATCCATATGTCTACAAATGATCTTAAAGAGAAACACTAGCAATTATGTTCCATGTGAAACATGCTTTACTATTATCAGTTTATTGTGTGACTATGCCTGTGGTGTGTGTTAGATTGAAATCCTCTTTACAGGAGAAGGATGTGTTTTGTATTTCTTTTCAATTTCACAAATAGGATTTCTGCATAAAGGGTGCCTAGTGATTTAATCAATCTAATAGTTCATCTCTACTTGTCACAGTCACCCAACTTTATACATAAGCCTGGCACTGAAGTGGGGAGATGTTGGAGACAGACGGCCATGACAAATCCTGACTCACCCACCACATCTTTCAAAACACAGGATGCTAGGCAATTTAGACTCTCGGAGGCTCATTTTCCTCAACAGTGTAGCAGAGCTACAGATGCCAATGTGTGCTTCATGGACAGTCTAGCAAGGGTTAAAGGATAAATATTTTGCTAAGAGCAGTACAGTGATGGGGCGATTCTAGAAAGTCCTGAAAAGGGGTCAATTTGACTGTTTTTCTCTGTTGTTCATTTTGGACTCCAGGAGCCTGTAGGCTGCAGTTGGCAGAGTTGTCAAATCACTCTGTACTCCAGGTGCTGAAGAGAAAAAAGGGACTGGATGGAGTTCAAACCACATCTATAGGGGAGTCTTTCCAAAATGTTGGTGTTGAAGGGAAGGAGAAAAACAGGAAACGTTCCAAGGAAATGAGGGAATAGCTGTGCTTTGAGATGCTTTTGGTCTCACTCCAGGATGTCGGGATGGAAGGGTCTACACTTGTCCTCTGTAATCAGGAACAGTGAAAGCTATGGCCTTTGCCATTATTTACTTCAATGGGAGAAAGTCTCAAAGCCAGACTCCTTGATGGGAAAGCTGCAGCAGGTATTAAATTGTTGGGTGAGCAGCCGGATTCAATAACCTTTGTATCCTTCCATCCTGATAAGATGACTTTAATGATAATATTGGCAGTAGCTGATTCATGTGTGTGTGTGTGTGTGTGTGTGTGCATGTATGTTAATGTATGAGTCCAGGAGTATACATATCGGGGACATGTGACAGAGGATGACACTGGGTGTTGGTCCTTGTCTTCCTTAGCTAGCCCATAAACTTCTGGGAGTCCTCATATTCCTGCATCCCAAGAGCTGAGATTATAGATGTTTTATGGAAGTTCTAAGGATACAAACTCAGGTCTTACGCTAACATGGCAAGTGCTTCACCCACCAGCCCTGTAACAATGTGCTGGTTTTTACTGGATGCTCACTGTATGTCTGGCATTGTGCCACAAATATTGCCCCTGCTCTTTCATTTCTTCTCTGCAACAATCTTAGACCTTTTATCTGTGAGACCTTTTATCTCCATTTTACAAATAAGGAGTCTGTCTACACATGGCTAAAGCTGAATGAATTGTCCCCAGGGCACAAATAGCTTACCATGCCAGTAATAGTTTTAAACCCCTGATCGTCTAAGCCAGTAGTTCTCAACCTTCCTAACGCTGTAACCCTTTAATGCAGTTCCTCACGTTGTGGTGACCCCCAACCATAAAATTATTTAGTTGCTATTTCATAACTGCAATTTTGTCATTGTTATGAAATATGATATAAATATCTGATATGCAAGATATTTGATGTGTTTTGATATGCAACACTCCCAACAGGGTCAGGACCCACAGGTTTAGAACTGCTGCCCTAAGCAGAATCCCAACAGTGTGTCACACCCTCACACACCTTTGCTCTCAGCAGAAAGACAACGAGGATCCCTGTTACAGAGGACTTTATATGAATATTTACAAGCACATGTGGAACCGCTTAAGGGTGATTGATTCTGGAAACATACTTGCATGGTTGGGATCAGACCAGTGAGTAACTGTGTTCGTGAAACTTTCCCCAGGGGAAATAATTCCGCCATGAAATTATAGACACCGTCTTCCTGGGCCAAGCTCTGTCCTCACATGTCGCTGTCCCCGAGTGCTTTGCATTTCATGAGGATGAGAGTCACCCTCTCTCTGCTCATCCAGGAAGGGCGTGTGCTGAAAAGCTAGGATGGGCTTATTTTGAAGAGTGTTTGGGGCCTTGCAAAACCTTGGGCAATCGAATCCCTCCTGAGCACTTGTATTTGCTCCCTAATTTTTTTAAAAAGTTAAAATTCATCCAAATCTTACAGCCAAACAAAGCATGTGAAAACATCACAGAAAAATGATATTTGAAAAGGTCTGATTGCCCTGTGATTCATCAAGTGCAAGCCAGAGCTGACCTTGAAATTGAGGCAGTCTGAAATCTGGCTTTCTAGATCCGCCACAGAGCTCATAAGCAACTCCCAAAATATTATCTGAAGTGTTTTCAACTTCTGTGACATCTCCTAATGCCAAGATACCTAATTACAGTGATTCATAAGCTACTAGCTGATAAACCCATCGAGCATATTAACATTAATTACATTAACCTTTTCTATAATGCCAAACATAAAAGTATAAATCAAAAAGACAGGATTCTTATCTTGTACTGTAGTTAATGAGACAAGTTAAAAGTTGCAAGACACAGAATAACATAAACACAGATTTAAATATATGAGCAGTGGATTTTGGAAGACATATTCACTTATAAACAGAACTTCGGCAAAGACTATTGCAAAGTCCAGGCAGATGGAGTTTAAATAAGAGCCATTAATTCAAATTAAGCAAAATGTGAATTTTTCCAGATAAATCAAATTTAATCCTTCAAGAACCTAACAATTTTTTGAATGAACTTTTTGTCTGATACCTCTAAATATTGGATTTTACTTTAGAGAAAATTTGAAATTGTGCTGGTGCCTAACTAGAAGGTATTCTGTGCACTACTGGAGAAGAAAGGTGATCATCACTATCACACAGCTACAAACCCTGTGACCTGCAACAGCAATGTGTCTACAAGATACATCCGTGCAATTGTGACTCAAATGTTATGGGAGTAATCAACCAAATTTTAAAGTAAATGTAAAGCCTGCTCCATGAGATGGAACCCATATCTGAAACAGCTAACGGGGCCAAGAACCTAAGATTAGATAGGTCATTGGCCTTAGGGGAAACCTACTACATTATTCTGCTAAAAGAACATAAAATGACTCCTAATGGCATATTGCTATACTTGTAGGTCAGTGTCTCACTGATCCCCATCAGAGAAGCTTCTTGCATGGAAATTAACAGAGATCCATATGTGGACAATGTGCAAGGAGTGAGAGACTTTAGAACACTCAATCCTAAATGGAATATCTTCACCAAACCCCTCCCCTCCAGGCTCAGGGATCTATGCAGAAGAGGTAGAAAGACTGTAAGGACCAGGAATGCTGGATGATTCCAAGGAAACAGCATCACCGAGATACAAGCAGGACTGATGCACACAGGAGCTCACAGAGTCTGTGGCAGCAAATTTAAGTCCTATACAAGGCCAAACCAGACAAAAGTCCCAGCATGGAGAAGAGGAAGTGGACACAAAGTCCCACCCCAACCAAGAAACTCTGTGCAATTACTACCTGTTGGGAAATGGGAAAGAAGTTTTCTCCAATGGAGTATCACTGGGTATATCCACCACACTTCAGGGCAGGCTCAAGCTTAGGAGCAGTTGGTCAATATAAAACGATCTCTGTTTTTTGTAGGCCTTTTGTTTCATTCTCTCTACCACAAGTACTTTTTTGCCTGTCTTCTTGGTTTTTGTTTTTGGTTTTTTGTTTGTTTTTTTTTTTTTGTCTGTTTTATTTTCATTTGGGAGTAAAGAGAGAGAGAATGTAAGTCTGGGTTGATAGGGAAGTGGGAAGTGTTTGAGAAGAGTAATGGAGGGGATAATATCAAAATGTATTATATGAAAAACTTTTAAAGATTGTGAAAAATTAAAAAAAAAAGCAAGCACATTGTGATGGTCATTGGAGTTACTCTTAAGTATTTCAATTCTCTTCTCAACCCATGCAAGGACTATAGCTCCTCGTTTCATTAGAAGTGACTGTTGTTACTGTCTTTGACCAGTGAAACATGAGCCCAACTGGCTCATGATAGTTCTGTTGAGAAGGCTTACGTGTCAGCCTGAGAGTTTCAAGATCCCTCAGTCTACAATAGCTACACTAAAAGTGTGAGGTTAGGATAACGCATCTCTGGGTCCCTGCAACATTCTAAGAGCAGAAATCCTGATGACCTATGTCAGCAAGTGGCATTGGCAAGAAGCAGCTTTTGATTGCCTTAAAGCCACTGACCTTGGAGGCTGTTGGTTTCTGCAGAAAAAAGCTAGTCTATTATCACACAGGAGTGTAGTCCAGCAATTCACACACAAAACAAAGTTGGTGATTGAAGATTTTTTTTAAGAACAGGAAGTTTCATGT